CATTTCTAAGTAATTCATATTCCTGTGATTTCAATTAAGATCTTTTTGGGAAGGAGTGTCTTCATTCATTTACTACTTACAATGACTAGCAAGGATTGTTTCGATAGAAGAGTTCTGAGGAAAAAGGCTTCTTCACTGTGATTATGCTAAAAAGTGCATGACATCCCCTCAAAATCCCAATGATATTCATCAGAGATTGAAAACTCAACACTAAAGTTCATTTCGAAGCAAAAAAGACTGCAAATAGCCAAAACAATACTTAGCAAAGAGAGCAATATTGGAGATAACAAACTTACCCCAACACTTACCAACTATATGATAAGCAATAGCAAATAAAAACAGCATGGTACTGGCACAAAAAATAGACATTGAAAACCAGTGGAACAGAATAGAGGACCCAGACATCAATTCACACAGCTATGCCCACCTGATTTTTGACAAAGGTGCCCAAGACATATGATGGAGAAAAGAGCCCCTCTTTAACAAATGCTGCTGGAAAAACTGGATATCTGCATGCAGAAAACAAACTAGTTCTATGTCTTTCACCTTGTACAAGAATGAACTCAAGATGGATTAAGGACCTTAATATAAGACCTGAAACTTTGAAGCTAGTACAGAAAGAAGAGCAGGGAATACACTGAATAATAGGCATAGCGCAAGTTCCTAAATAGAATACAAATGGCTCAGCAATTATGAGTAAGGATTGACAAACAGGACTACACAAAACTTAAAAGCTTCTGTACAACTAAAGAAATGGTTACCAGAATGAAGAGGCAGCCCACAGAATGGAAGAAAAATCTTTGCCAGCTATACAGCTGATAAGGGAGTAATAACCAGAACCTACAGGAAGCTCAAAAACTAAACTCCCAAAAAAAACAATGACCCAAAGAAGAAATGGGGAAATGAAGTAAACAGAGATTTTTCAAAATGGCCAAAAAAAAAAAAAAAAAAAAACACATGAAGAAATGCTCAACATTCCCGGCCATAAAGGAAATAAAAATCAAAACCACGTTAAGATTCCAACTCAATCCTGTTAGGAATGGCTATCATCAAGAACACAAAACAACAAATGTTGGTGAGAATGTGGGGAAAAAGGAACCCTCATAACTGTTAGTACGAATGTAAATTAGTACACCACTATGGAAAACAGTATGGAGGCTCCTCAAAAAACTAAAACCAGACTGGCTATAGGACCCAGCAATATCACTTCTAGGGATATACCCACAGGAATCTAAGTTATGTTACAATAAAGACACTGGCACACTCTTGTTTACTGCAGCATTATTCACAATAGCTAAGCTATGAATGGAAACAGCCAAAATGTTTCACAATTGATGAATGGATTAAGAACATGTGGAATTTTTTGTTTTTCTTTTTGTTTTTTTGGGTGCATTGGAGTTTGAACTCACAGCCTCATTCTTGCTAGGCAGGTGCTCTTACCACTTGAGCCACTCTGCCAGCCCTTTTTGGTGATAAGATTATTTTTGAGATAGGGTCTCATAGAATATTTGCCTGACAAACACAACAAGGGGATTGGACTATGAGCACATGATAAAAGCTTTAGCACACAAGGGAGGGGTGAGGATAGGTAAGACACCTAAAAAACTAGCTAGCATTTGTTGCCCTTAATGCAGAGAAACTAAAGCAGATACCTTAAAGCAATTGAGGCCAATAGGAAAAGGGGACCAGGAACTAGAGAAAAGGTTAGATCAAAAAGAATTAACCTAGAAGGTAACACCCACGCACAGGAAATCAATGTGAGTCAATGCCCTGTATAGCTATCCTTATCTCACACAGCAAAACCCCTTGTTCTTCCTATTATTGCTTATACTCTCTCTACAACAAAATTAGAGATAAGGGCAAAATAGTTTCTGCGGGGTATTGAGGGGGGGGAGCGGGAGGGGGTGGAGTGGGTGGTAAGGGAGGGGGTGGGGGCAAGGGGGAGAAATGAACCAAGCCTTGTATGCACATATGAATAATAAAAGAAAAATGAAAAATAAAAAAAAAAAAAAAAAAAAAGAATATTTGCCTGGTACTGGCTTTGAACTGGAATCCTCCTGATCTCTGCCTCCTGAGTAGCTAGGATTAGAGGGGTGAGCCACTAGCAATTGGCAATAAAATGGAATTTTATTTAGCCATATAAATGCATGAAATTTCTGTTTTTTGTAGGTGAATGATGGAACTGGAAAACATGATCTTAAGTGGTATTAGTCAGGTTCAGAAGGTCAAAGACTGAATGTTTTTTTCTCAGATGTGGAATACAGGCCCAATACAAATTACAAGCAACTCTATGAAAAAGAGGTCATGCTAAGGGAGATCACTAATGGGAGAGGAAGGATAAAAGAAGTTAAGAAGGTGAATATGGTTTATGTATTCTCTATACAAGAATGAATACAGAATTTTTAAAAGTGTTAAAATCACCATAAGAAGGAAACTAAGGTATAGAGGGGATGAACCAATTCAGGTTATAATACATATACACATGGAAATGTCACAATGAAATCCCCTGTATAGCTATCTTAAACAAATAAAAACACCTTCTTTCAAAAACAGAATAGGAATATGAAACAGGTCCTGCCTGGGGGCGGGAGGGTTGGTACCAGTGGAAGGGGGCAGGATGTAAGGAAAAAGTGTATGAGGGTGAATATGGTAGAAATATTAAGTATTCAAGTAGGAAAATGGAAAAATGAAACCTGTTGAAACTATTCCAGGAATGCGGGTGGGTGGATGAAGGAGAATGATGAAAGGGGTGAGTTCAATTATGATATAAGAACCTTTGTAAATGTCACAGTATATCCCCAGTACAAGAATTTAAAAAAAAAAATGTATGACAAAAATTTACATTTGACCCCTAGAGGTCTTCCTTTTTTATTGCATGGGACTATTACTTATCCAGGTGGCTTTTCTGAATCTAGGTTGACAGATGCTCAAATGGAACAATTCTTATTCATGGGGTAGCAATGAATACCACACATTTTAGTGTACAGATTAAAGATACTGATTTAAATATATATACATACACATATATTCCAACACAAATATATGTGCATGTGTGTGAGAAGAGGAGAAATAAGGGATGGGGAGGAGAAAGCAAGAGAGAGGAGAAAAGAATGGATAGAGGGAAAGCCAGGGAGAAAGCAGGGGAAAAATAGTTATGGTTCTTATTTAATTTATACTCTGAAAAATTATAGATTATTTATAGGTCATATAATAATATTGGGAAAATCTACTACTTATGAAAAAGTATATATAAAAATAGTACAACCTAATAAATACTCTACTCCTGGGGTTGAAAACATAGCACTACAGAAATAATGTGTGTTCCATTATATTGTTAGAATGTTATACAGTTTGGAAATTCGACTGCGGAATACATTATAAAGCTTATTTTGATTCAATTTTTGGAAGGATGAAAGACAAGTTAGTGTATGCACTCTAAAACAAGGAATCACACATGAACCTCATCAGAAATTCTGTTATTGGGGATGTAACTCTTCTCTTACTGACTTTTTGGGATTTGGGATAGTATTTAAAAGTTCTCCAGTTAATTATTTTCTGGAAGAATTGGGTACCAAGAAAGACCTGTGGGCTTTTTTTTTTTAACTTGAAAAAAGACAGAACGTACATACTGCTTTACAACTGTTGGCTATTAGACTCGCAGTCTTCTTGAAGGTCTTTTCAAGGTAGTGGGCAAATCTTTCATTCTCATTTTCTTTTGACCCTAGCTGAAGAAATTCACCTATAAAGAAAGAAAGGGGTTACTTGAGATATGAATTTATTGCCAGTCTATACACCAGGATTGAATAAAAAAAGAAAAATCAAAATCAACCTACCACGCACCAGATCTTCAATAACTTGGGTTAAAATAGATATTACAGTTGTGTTTCCAATCCGTGCCAGAGCTATAGATGCTGCAGAAAGAATCAAATCTCCAGCAAGAACAGCCTAGAAAAAGAAGGAAAAAACTTGTAGATAAAAAAGATTGGAACAATGGAGGCAATGATGAAGCTGACTTGTCAGAAGATAATTATAGAATGGGAAAGAGGGGTTATCTTGGATGTTAAGTGCCCCCCTCCTCTTCCTCAGCAGGATTATATAATAATCAATTACCGATTTGGGCCATGTATTTTTTTTTTTACCTGAACTGGCTCTTAAGAAATTACCCTATCTCTCAGTTCATAGCTAAATGAGAACAAAGGGAATTATGTTCTATGTTCAATATTCTCTGAACATCTTACACTGCTCTTCATTCCTAAGAAGTACCTACTGACCCCCTTAATCTAACCCAGGGCCTCACACATGCCAGCCAAGTGCTCTGCTACAGAGCTGTATCTCTATCCTGGCAAAAGTTTTTCACTGGTTATTAGGTAATCAATGCGTCCTCAAATTTCTTTAAATGTATTACCATCTACAATATATTACCAAGCTAATTATAATTGTGCCTAATTGAATTATGTGCTATAAAAATCAAACATGCTATTTATATATCTACATTAATTTCTATACCTAAAGATATGCATAGTGTTATTATGTTCCACAGTAATTAGTCAAATTATAGAGTTCATGGAAATTTTAATTCATAGAATTTTTCAACATAACCATTTTTGGCATTATTGTCTGTTCCCTAAATAAACATTCAGTTTGTCAACCATCATTTTTTATAATATATATTAGTACATAAACTAGCCCCATAAAACTATATACACTTTTAAAGTCATCTCACACACTATGACGTATATATACACACTTCTACCCACTTATGTGTCTCCAACATTGGTAGCTCAGGGCTTGAGGTCCCTAAAAAAAAATGTCCTTTACCTCTTTCTTCTCCTGGTCCCAGGAATCCTGGAGGCCCAAAACTTCCAGCACGGGGAAATGGACCAATATGAATGTAGAGGACTACGTATGAAGAGATGAAGAAGAGAGGGGCTGTGAACCCAGGCCAGTAGTAATAAGGGCTCATGAGAAGGGGTATATAAATGGGCATTTGTAGCAGTAGCATGGTAGTTGTGGATCTAAGGTAGAAAAGGGAGGGAGAATGGTAAGGGGACTTGTGCTGGGCAGACCTCTCAGAGGTGAATGAGGCAGGTGATGGCTGCAATACCTCCTTACACCTACACTCAGAACTCTGCCCCTAGCATCAAAGGCAGACACACAGGGCACTTGTTCTTAGTCCTCCTTTCCTGGCCCTGCCTGAACACAGACACAGATGATTACCTCTCCAACAGAAAATTCCATCATTTTTGGCCAGCACTCTTATGTATAAAATTTTTTAACTTAAAATTTGAAATAAAGGCAGATAAATGAAATTGCAGGAATCTTAACTTCACAATAGCCATTCCTTTTAAATCAAAACCACCATGTGGAAATAAGGACAATCAAATTGGAGGGAACCAGATTCAATAAACATGTGAAGGAGAAGGTGAGTTATATCTGCATAAACTTTTGTTTGTTCTTCTACTGGGCAAGACCACCAATGGAGGCACATGTGTGTGGGTGAACACCTGCTCTCAAGAGGTCTGTGCATCCTCAATTTCATTTGTTCAACTTCATTCCCTTTCTTTAATCTATAATTTATGTATCCTCAAACAAAAGTCCCTATTATACTAATAAAATAGGCAATATGGAAATCTGTTTTAAAATATACATGTGAACCAAACCCTAGTAATAGTGCTTCCATCTAAAAAGGTAAAATTTTCATGGTAGAAATCCCTGAGATTGATTTTCCTTCTTTTTTAAATTTTATTTCCTTAACATTTTTCCATACACAGTGAGTCAATAGAAATTTAAGGATTAAATTATTGGTAACCTAAGCCCAAAAGTAAAAGTGTGATTACTCATAAAATACACTTTTTGGATACCCATAAAAATTTCTTTCCTTAGTCAAAGGAATTCCATATAAAATGATTAATAACCAGAAAAACTAAGTTTGTTTGTTCATGATGTATGGCATGAATGCCCTTGTTTTTTAATGGCATGTCCTATTGTCTATTAAGTATCTAGATATAGAAATGACACGAATACTTCTTTAAAATTTGTGTTTGAGCAAGCATGTTTTATTTTTTAATGATAAAAATCCGAAAAGCAAATGTGACCCCCAAAGCATGTGATTTGGTAAAAAAGATTTTTAAAAATCAACAAATGAAGCACCATACCTTCTTTTCACCCCAGATCTTATTGACTGTATGTTTTCCTCTTCGAGAACTTGCATCATCAATAACGTCGTCATGAACCAAACTAGCAGTGTGGATCATTTCTGCAATTAAGGCTATGGAGCGCTGGCTGGCTTGCATATCTCTAATTAACAGAAAGCAATGCTTTTTAAACAGATACGCCGCCTAGAACCTTCTCAGCAATCATCTTGTAAAAACTGGACATCGGATCTAGGATAAAGAATTTTATTTCTCTAAGAGAAATTGTATTAAAACTCTGGGTTCCCTAAAGAACCATTTCTATTCTTTGGAGTACACTGTAAAAATGTCAGAGACCCCGCCAAGACTCTGTTTTATGGACTCCACATTAGGAAGTAGAAGCTTAGTTTTTTATTTTTAAAAGGTTTCGGGGATAAACATTTCAGAAGCCTGTCCATTCAGTTAAAGAAACTTTATGTCTATAATAGTGGTTTTGTTAGCGGTCCAAGTTTAGAATTAGATTATAATTAAACTTCCAGGTTGCATGGGAAAGACAAATGAGAAGTATTTTAAAAAGTGCCTTAAAGAACCAACTGTAAATATCTTAAATGTTGAGTACGACAACATCAATAACTCATATTTAACCTTGCATTAGAAATCTAAACTTCTGTTTCCAAGTTTAACACAAACTATAGGACAAGCACTCTCAAAATGATACAGAGATGTAATTTTTACAATTAAAAGGGAATGCTCTTACTTTTTCTTTTTTTCATGACAGAATCTTTCTGTTTCCCAGGCTGTACTCCAACTTCTGGATTCAAACTACCATCCTGCCTCCCCAGTAAATGGACTGCAGGCATATGCACCCAGCTCCTGGTTTTGTTTTTTAATCATAATCATTATCACTATTACCATTTATGGGAATTTTAAAAACCAAATTTCAATGAAATCTGAATGGAGAAAAAGCCAACTAAATTTTCCAAACCTAAAACCTAATGCCTAACTTAAACACACATTAGCCAAATGTTTTACTTATTCTAATTGCTTGCTTTTAAAATACCACCAGGGTGTCCAGGATGTATCTTTAAGAGGGGAAAAAAGGGAAAGGCATACAGAAATGACTTTTTCTTTAAAAAAACTGAATATGAACATTTGCACAAGGTGGTGCTCTAATTTCTCAGACCCAGCAAAAAGTCATGAAAAAAGAAGTAGAACTACATAAAAGAGGTGGGTATTTAGCAACAGATACCAAACCACCATGTGAATTTCTTCTGACCTTGCTTTAAATCAAATTTTTAAAATGTGATGTCTTGCTGGTTCCTCTTACCTAAGGCCTTAGAACTAAACCCTAGAACCTTGTAACATTTCAGCCAAGAAGCCAATTGTAAAGTACTGCTCATTATTTATTAGTATTTCATAATTCACAATGACCTTTCTTTTTTATCAGTACTGGGGATTGAACTAAGGGCCTTGCACATGTGAGGCAAGCACTCTACCACTTGAGTCACACCCCCAGCCCAATGTAACAGTTCTTAACACTTCTGATCACAACAGATTCTCCTAAGGAGGAGGTAAAACAAAAGTAAAGAAATGTAAGGACAAATCATCATATAAAACTACTTCAGTGGAGCTGGGCTTGTGGCTCAGTGGTAGTGTGCTTAGCATGTATGAAGCCTTGGGTTTGATCCCCAACACCAAAAGAACAGCAATAACAAATCACTTCAGTAACAAAGAAAACAGAAGCTCAGATAGCTTTTACAAGCTTGCTCTAAATTCCTCAGTGAGACTTCAGACTTCTTATTAGGGAGCTTACGTATTTTTCAGATAAATTCACTAGGCATTATCTTCTTTGAGTTAAATGCACGGGAAAAGATACACACTTTTACAGTTGGTTTTAAATATAAAGGCTATTTTTGAGAATAATTTCTACTATACACATTTCTTACTAGCTAGTAGTACAACCTACCTTAAAACAACTTTCAAGGCCTCTAGCCTTTCTCATGCACTCCTAAGTTGGGTACCGCCTCCATTATGTCAAGCCGTTATGTCAGCAGACAGGGGCTCCAGCTGGGAGGGTGCACTGAAATGGCAGTACTCATTGAGACACTAGCGTTTTTAGTTTGTAATTTGAAGATATTAAATTTCTTAAAATGTTTTGAGCTGGGTGTGGTGGCTCACACTTACAATCCCAGCCTGCAGGAGATGAGACAGGGTAACAGTTCAATGTGGGCCTGGGCCAGAGTTAAGATTCTGCCTCAAAAAATTTCTTCTCCTGAAATTTTAGACTATACATGCATACCAAAATGCCATCTTCCCTGGCTAAATGACTGACTGATGAAATCAAGATTCTTGCTTAGAATGGTATTGTGACATAGCCTCCACGTAGAATACATGTGATATGAGATGCTTTATAATTTTATCAGATGTATTTTTTCCCATGAATTAGGCTTTAACGTGTGTCAGCTTATATCTGCATTTTGTTATCCTTAATGCAGCATCACGGTAGGACAGATGACCAAAATATACAGATTACAGAGAAAAGCTTACACTATCTTTAAGATGAAATCTTTAAGGTGCCAAACTGAGTCATGCCTTGGAAAAACTGAGAACCATTTCTACTTCCTGCCGTGAAGTAGATGTCACATTTTCCCAGCTCCTGGGAAAGGTGACAAGTAAGGCAGCATGAGAAAAAGAGGCCCTGAGTCTTGAAAGCTGGCTATGTCCTCTGTACAATGTAAATCAGCACGTTCCTCAAGTTAGTTTCTCCCCCTTCATTAGAGTAAAAAAACTTTTTTTATAATGAAGAATTTCAAACATAAAAACAGATGGAATAAGATAACAGCACTCCCTTCACCTAGTTTACATGTGACTTTCTGTTTAACAAATTTTTTTAGGTATAGGGTCTCACTATTGTGCTCAGGCTGGCCCTGAACTCCAAGCGATCCTCCTGCCTTAGCCTCCCTAATAGCTGAGACCACAGGTATGTGTCACCGTGCCGGGCTTACAAGTCAACTAAAAAATTTTTTCCCTAATCTACAGCAATACACCATGTAAAGTCTTAAATGAATTACAAATACATCTTCATTGTGAGGAGATGCTATTGGCATCAACATCAAAGGTGCCTTCAAGCTGGGCATGGTGGTACACAGCTGTAAATCGACCACTTGAAAAACTGAAACAAGAGAATTGGGAGGCCAGCTTGGGCTTACACAGAGACCCTGTCTCAAAAAAACAAAGCTCAAAACATAACAGAAAAGGTGCCTTCAACCTAAAGGGCAGGCAAGGGGTACAGGAGGAATGCCTATGAATTCAACCACTATCCTTGGACCATTATCCTTGGTCACTGCTCATTTCCCTTCATAAACCTAAGTAAGCACACTAGACTCAAGAATAAAGTTTTTCTCTTTTTGTTTTTTAAAGTTTGAATGTAACACTCAAAAGATTCATTAGCAGTTTTAATATCAAGAAATAAGAATTGCTACTCAAAAGCAGCAACTCCTGAACATATTCAGATTTATCTACAGATAAAGCAGAGGCCCACAAAGTTGCATCATAAATGACACAGACTTCACATGATTATTTTCTTGCCTCTGAAGCACTTAAGAACCTTCTGATTTGGGGCATATGTGGAGAGCAATCCCCTTCCCCCCATGAGATCCTGAATCTGCAACTTATCCATGCTGGCTCTGTGCATGCAGAATTTTCTCTCCAGGACCCAGGGGTCTATATGATGCAATATTCTATTTGTCAAATAGGTCACAGGTAGTAAAAATATAAAACTTGATTCCTTTACAGAAAGAACCAGCCTCATCCTAGCATGTGTGAGCTGAAATAAGGACTTTTATAAGTCCTACAGCTCTCTTATGCTTGAACTTAAACTTATCAGGGAAATGGATGACAATCTGCTCATCAAAATCTCCTCCACCTTAGTGGGTATCCCTTGCTATAGACTTTACTTCAGACATCCATTTTAATAGTGAGTACGGACACAACAAAAATGCCACCTCGTAGATTAAAGACAAAAATAATTCTTTGGTCACCAACCTTTTTAAACAGCAGCTGGCTTAATGGTTTGAAACACACAGAAAGAAACCATTAAGAGCTCTATAACTGATAGCGTCCTTACCCTGGAATTATTCAAGTGAGCTGATGCTGTCATGGTTGTTTCACTAGTCTTCTCAGTGTGGGCTTTTGTAACCTCCTTTGTCTTTATAGGGATCATTAAAGGTACTTCCTCAGAATATAAGATTTTTATCACACCTGGGATCTTGATCTTTTATCTAATGAGGAAACTGTGTCTTATAATCTGTCCATTTAGTCATCTGTCCCAGCTATGAAAACCAGAGAAGTGGGATCCAATGTCACTTGACCATTTGCACAATCAACATCAATAGATCTGTGCACAACATAATGTGGGCACTCCTGTTATCCAGACCATTGGCAATGGTCTTTTCAGTGCTTGAAGCCTTACACATGAATGGATGGTGCCAAGTTCAATGGTAACCAGTAGGACCCTTCAATGTGGTTGCTAAGCAGGATAGGTTTGGAAGAAAAATATAGATGCAACAGTTGTACTATACTTAACGAGTAAAGAAATTTTGTAGAAATCTATTATAAAGCCCCCACCAGTTTTATGATGGAATTTTGGTATGTTGCCCAGCTATTCTCAAAACTCCTGATAAACCCCTTTTTGATCTGGATTCTAGGATAAAATAAGTCCTGACCTACAGTTAGTCTGGGTTTTGCTGAACTCTATTGCAAGTTAGAGCCTTGGAAACAGAGTTTCAAGTACAGGATGTTTATTCAGAAGTGCCCTGAAGATGGACTTTAGATGGGCAGGCAGAAGCAGGACTAACAGCCTAAGACCACTAGAGGGTGCTCTGTAGCTAGATTGGAAGCCCTTTATCAGTCCCCTGCATATGGGTTGTCTCAAGAAGGGACACAGCCTATGATGAGATAGAGGATTCTCTGCAAGAGAGGTATTCCTTTTCGTTTTTTTTAACTCCATCCCACAACTCATCATTCATAATTCAGACCAGGCACAGGGCATAAGCTGAGGTGTATATGGGGTAGGTTTACTTTGCCTCCTTTTTCTATACAGGCAATGCAAAAACACAGCCTGTGGTAAGTACCAGGAGGCATAGAGGCACTGTTTAATGGGGCTGAGAACTGAAGGTCTACAGGTACCAACAGCACATGATAATGGCACTTGGGACAAAGAGGGCTTCAGTGATGTGCCTCTGGGGCAAGTTCCAGAATGCACAATTTTGATTTCTGGACATTTCTAGTCGGTGTCATCTATTTTATGCATTTCCTGCTTTACTATTCCTTAAATATGGAGGTTATCATATCAGGATACATACTGATACATAAAGATTGGGTTTTAAGCTTTTCAGGGCCATATTACCCTAAGAGTATAGTTTGCCCTAGAAAAGTACGAATATACACAAAAAATTTTCATATAATTTCAATGAGTTCAAAGAATCCCATAATTCCTGTGGACCCCAGGTTAATAACTCCTAATTAAGACATCTAGCAGAAAACATTTAATGGACAACCAAAAAGCTTCATAAGGAAAAAAAAAAAAAGATAATGTACTCCATTGTTTTCTTACATCAGCTCTAACATTGTATTTAAAACACACCTGGGAAGCAAGATGTCTGAGGATCCTTACAGCAGCTGTTAAACTTTGATTGTCAAGGGACAAAGACCATTGTGTCACCATCAAGGAGCATATGAAGTATAAGAACAGGTCCTGTGCCACTTGGGTAGAGGACACTCTATTGGCAGTGGCTAAAATAGAGGTGGTGTACGACCCTGCTCCAAAATCTTTATTAACTGTTTTTCTATATTGTTTCAAGCCTTTCTCAGCAAACAAACAAACAAAAAAAATCACAAATACTCAGCTCTTCAGAAGCCTGCCACCCCTTCTTTTGAGTGGCATGGGAATAAAAGCTAGACATTTAGCCCACTAAAGACCTGATCAAAGTGTCCTTAAGAAGCAAGTATTCTCCAGAAGTTGGGGCAGAGTAATGATGGTAGGGTACTGGATCACCCAAGTACGTGCCTCAATCATGACTCAGACCACATGTTGGACACTGCCTCTGTACAATCTCGTTTCCTACAACCATTCACCTGACAGAATGAACCTGCAGCTCAGATGCCCCTTAGAGAAGCAATACTGAACTCACAGTTTAAACCAGCAAGGCCTTTTCTGTGTTATACTCTCTCATTTTTTCTGCAGCCAACAGTTTATACAGTTTCAATAAGGCAAAGCGAAAAAACTTTCAACTACGGGATAATAGCTAATAGGATTTTAGGCAGCGAAGAATGTATTCCTTCCCATATTGTCTCTGAAGGTAATAAACTATTAATTAAGCATTAGTCTAAGGAATTAAAAATAACATTCTCTAAAACCAGTGGTTCTCAACTGGGAGCGATTTTTGCATTCGAGGAGACGTGGCAATATCTAAAGACACTTTTAATTGCTATCACCTGGTAGGCATAAAATGAGTAGAAGCCAGGGATGCTGCTAAACATCCTACAACGCATAGCACAGCACTTCTGTCTGCCACAAGAAAGAGTGATCTAGCGCACAATGTTTGTAATGCTGAGCCTGAGAAACTTGCTGCAGGCCACAAGAGATGTATTTCAAGTTTGGTTTGGAGGGAGCATTTCTGCTGCTCTGCTTTCAAAATAAAGTAAAAGTGGTCCAGATGATGGCTAAAAGTTACACTGGCAGAGATTTCGCTGCATGCTTGAAATATTCTGTGAGCTCTTCAAAAGTCTCAGGTTAAGTAGAAGCCAACCCTGAGTGTGATGTGCTGGACACAATGGGGCACAACTACAGGGCACAAAAGGCTTCAGGCAGAGGTAGCATCTGCGAAGAAACAACATCTGGTGCTCATTCTTACAGCACCATTGTTAAATTTAGTGCTGATAATTATGAGGCATTCCTTCAAAGTATTATCTATTGAGAAAAAGGAAAAATATACAAACATTCTTAACACTAAAAAAGTTTCAGTACATTATGGTCTATTGGAATTTCCACCTGTAGATTACATAATGTAAATATGGAGATATTTAGCAATGTGGCAAAGAGTTTACAAACAATAGTAAGTAAACAAAGCAGAACGTGAAATTATATATACTGAATGATTGAATACAAGAATGGACCGGAAGAAGAACAAGGAAGAGGGATGGCTGCATTAAGGAAATGGGGAAATCCATTTTCCTTCTAAGATTTCCTTTAATGTGAAAATGGTGCAGTTGTTTTAATATCTGAACTATAAACAAAATATAAAATTTAAGTACAATCTTTAAAATGTCTTCTGTAAAGAAAACGTGCACAATTCAGAAAGTCACAGGAAGGCAGGCAATCTAGGGCGTGTGCACATGCTTCCTGGAATAATGGTACAGCTCGACTTTAGGACAATCAACCTTTGGACCAAATGCCCATTTGTGTAATGATTAAATGTATATTCATACATCCTGGTATTTTTACTTCCTGATGAGAAAAACAAATTTGACTTTAAACACTTTTTTCTAAAGTCTTTATTGGCAGTTGAAGTTGTTCCACAAAGGACATTAAAGCTTGCCAAAGGAAGATGCCAGACTAGATTCCAGAGTGACATTAGTGACTCAAAGGCAGAATCTACACAGTTCAAAGTGAATTTTTAGATAGATGCTACTTCTTAAATGGGAAATGAAATAGTAATCTTGGGAAGGAAGACTTCCCTAATGTAAAAACTGACAGAGATGTGAACATAAGTAACTCACCGGGAGTTATTATGATGAATATTACATGCTCGGGCCATTAGCACCACAATAATTGGTCGAAAGGCTTTTCCTTTTCCATCAAAGTAGTACTCAGACATTTCTTTAAGTTCTGTGGTAGATATGAGCAGTTCCTGAAATAAAGTTTCTTTTTGTCAACATGGCATCATAACTGTGCAGAAAGTCAACAGGATTTCTTTGGCAAAACTTTGATTTCGGCATATTCATTTTAATTAAGAAATTCAACACTCAGCTGGACAAGGCTCCCAACAATGTATGGCCACAAACCTGGCTGCCCTGAAGGCAGGAACACACACAATAGCTGGCTCAGCCCAGAGCAACTTCAATGCTAGAACAGGTACTGCTACCTGTTTCATGGATAGCACCAATAATTAGGAAATGGGAAAAAGCACTGGGTGGGGGGGCGGGATTGGACACGACGGACCAGGAACTCTGGGCTAGTGACAATTAGAGAGAAAGAAATTGGGGGTGGGGAGCAGTTTGGAAGATGGAGGAAAGAAGTGAAATAAGGAGAAAATGGGAACCTATGAGGAGGTCTGGTGGTTCCCTGGGTGAGGAGGCAAAGCTATATATTAAGGGAAGGAAGATAAACAACAGGGCACTGGGAGAACCAGCAAGGGCCAGTACATCTGGCTGGGCTTTTATTTACCAAAAGACATTTCAAAGGCTCATAAAGGAAATGTAAGGCATGGTTTGCCTGATTGCAAGGAGATTACTGTCGAGTTGAGGAGACGAAAATTTAAGAAATGGAGAACTATTCAATGGATAATACAGTGGTAACCTGAACAAGATTTCTCTTCTGCACAGTTCAGAAGGTAACAGGAAGGCAGGCAATCTAGGGTGTGTGCATGCATTGCCCAGAATAATGGCACAGCTCAACGTTAGAACAATCAACCTTTGGACTAACTGCCCCTGTGAATAATGATTAAATGTATTTCCACACATCCTGGTATTTTTTACATCCTAATGAGAAAAATAAATTTGGCTTTAAAGGTGCCAAAGGAAGATTAGTAGGGGTTTGATTTATGTGAAGCAGAGAGGGGCTTCCATGAGTGGGTGTTTATCCTATTGGCCACTCAAGGACATGTAGACTGAATCAAAGTTCAGTCAGTCTTGGGGGAGCAGAATACTGTGGCCCATCACTAATTCACTAGATTATCGATTCAGTGCCAAGCACTGTAAAAAAGGCAAAGGGCACAAAGATAAGCAAGGCAATTCTTGCTCACAAGGAACCCAGGATCTAGGTGGAAAGAAGTCAACCAGTAATTGCAGTTAACACAGCACAGTGAGGAAGGTGATGTCACTGAAGTAAAGGCAGTGACCCTGGGAGTACAAAGGGGGACCCTCTAGCTCAGGTTGAGAAAGGGAGGATAAGAGAAAGAATAAAGGATAAGAGACATGGAGGTGGCCTGACTTGGGACAGTGGGTACTAAAGGCAAGCAACAGACTGGAAGGACCTGAGAGGGAAGGACAACTTGAGGATCCTTCCTGAGTTCCTGGGTGGTACCTTCAATGAGCAGGTCCACTAGGGAAAAAAACAATTTGTGAGGGAAAAGGAGTTTCAGACATGTTAAATTAGATAGTCAGGGACACTTTATGGAGTCGCCCACTTCATGGGTTTAGGAAAAACAATCCAACCAGGTGTAGAGATACTACTAAGGAGTTTTAAGTATGGAAATAAATACACAGTTGTATATGAAGGTTCACTCTTGTAATTCCAACACTTGGTAGGCTGAGGCAGGAGGATCCCAAGTTCAAAGCCAGCCTGGGCTACATAGTGTGACCCTGTTGAGTAAGAGAGTGCAAAAGAGAGAGAGTGAGTGCACAGAGAGAGAAGGGGGCTAACAGAATCTTAAACAAAAGCATAATAAAAGGGAGTGGGTAGAGGTAGAAGATATAAAGAGGAACCCATAAAGCAAGCTGAGGAATGGCCTGAGGATTAGGCAAACAAGGAAAATGTGGAAGCCAAGGGAACAAATTTATGGAAGGGAAATAGTTAATAGTGTCCAGTGTTGAAAACAGCCAAGGAAGATGAAAACAAAAAGCATCCTTAGGATTTGGTAAAAGGAAGCTACTAGTCACCTGGGTAGAAGCAGTTTCAGAAAAGGCTAGAAGGGAAGCCATAGGGCAATGGTGAAGTAAATGTGAAGGGCAAGAGCAAGACAGAGTGTAGAATCCAGGCACAGTGGCTTATGCCTATAATCCTAGCTATTTGGGAGGCAGAGGAAGGAAGACCTCAAGTTTGAGGATAGTCCATGCAATGTTAGGGAAACTTTGTCTCAAAAACAAATTAAAAACAAAAGGACTAGGGATGTACCTCAAGTGGCAGAGCAATTGCAAGTGCAAGGCCCTGAGTTCAATCCCCAGTATTGTCAAAAAATTTTAAAAAAAGGTAAAGAACACTGTGAGGGAAGAAAAGGAGGAAGACACGGGGTCAGGGGAGGTCCTTTTAAAAGCGAAGATGAAGAAACTGGAGCAGTTCAAATAGGTACAAAAGAGAAACCGAGAAGAAAATTAGCAGATAAAGGAGAGGGAGTTGGTGATTGCTTGAGTGGTTACCAGGGAACTGAGGAGGCAAAAAGGGGATGGCACTCAACAGAAGTAATGGCACTACCCCAGGAAGGAAGGAGACACTGACTTCCCAGAAGTGGACAGAGAAGGAGCCAAGAGGGTTCTTACTCCACAGCGTCTACTATCTCCATTAAATAGGAAGGGCTACCTGTGTAGCTTAGAAGTAAAGTATATATACAGCCCTGAGTTCCATTCATAGCATTAAGGAAAAAAAAGGCAGTAGTGCTGCTGTGAGGCTCTGAGAGCCAGTGGCTAGAGGCTTGGGGATAAAGTGGAAACGCTGAATGAAGGAGGAAGCTAATAAAGAGCATATGAATATTTGGGAGTAGGATTTTATTTATTTTTATTTTTTCATTTTTCCACTGTACAACCCACTTCAGTGCCAGCAGCCTATGGAAAGAGAGGCCAGGCAATGGGTCAGGGCCACAGTTTGCTTTGGCATGGGACACTGTGAGAGGCCCAGGGGGACAGGCCTGCCATAAATCCAAACCCATGCACTGAGTAGCATTATAGAGTCCACATATATGGAAGCCACTGAAAAGTTTCTGGAAAAAGAGTTGAACAAAGGAAGACAGTTGCATAGGTCACTGGATGGTGACAGATATGAACAGGGGAGGTTAGATAACTCACTAGAAAGTATGTGCTACCTGCAACATTCACAACCTGATGTATGTAAATCAAGTTTGCAATGGCATTGTACATATCTGAAAACATGCACTGCCTTTCCACAATTCTAAAGTGTTACTACATTTTAGTAAACTAAAATTTTACTTCACAGCAGAATCAAAAAACCTTACCTTTCTAATGTCCTCATACAGACCTTTTAAGTCTCTCCAACCAAGTTTAAAAGGATCAGTGTATTTTTCACCACTCTGTGTTTTACTACAACAGCACACTGATGGTGTCTTATGATGAAACCTGGGGTAAGTGAAAATGCATGACTGTTTTCTCTCATATGTGGAAGACAGATCCAAATATAAATATAAGCATTACTCATACATATATACATACACACAGAGAACATGTTTTCAAAAGTGGGATTGTTAGAGGAGACTGGGGAAGACGGAAAGAAGAGAATGATAGAGAGCAAATAATCTACAATGAAATGCACTGAAAACTGTTGAAAAACACAGGGTGGGGGAAAAGGGTAAGGGAGAATAATAGAGAGGGTTAGACTTATTAAAGTACCATATATTTATAGGTAAAATACTAAGGCAAAACCACACTTAATAAGCAGACACAAATGATGAAGGACAATAAAGTTAATGGAAGGGTACTAGTGGGAGGGAAAGGGTAAATGAAGACAGTAAAGGAGGGTGAATATGGTTGATATATTTTCTACATCATGATGTAGAATATGGAACACTGAAACCTGATAAAGCCATTTTTAGAAGGGAGGAGAAGAGCAAGTATAATGGGAGAATAAGCCAAATCAGTGTACATTGTATGCCTTATAGAAATGCTACAATGAAATCCCCTGTACTATTATATACTAACAAAAATATTAAAATTAAAAAAAGAAAATGAATGGCTTCATTTTTAAGTAACAATTTTGTGTACATAAATATACCTATACATGTAGTAGAGCAGATAATGAAAAATTAAGCCCAAATTCTTGTTGGAAATTAAGCATGAATCTTAAAAAGGTCATTGTAATTTAGAAAAACGCAGAATGCTATTCTTGCTAAATGATACATTAACAGATCATTTTAATAAACAGGACATTGAGAAGTGACATCAAAGAAAGACTAAATTATGTTCATAGTGGTCTGGACTGAGTTCAAATTTCATTATATTCCTATTTTTTTTAAATGGTAGAGAGATCAAACGAAGCAGATATTGTGGCACAAAGTCAAATATCGTATTAATCTGTTGGCCTAGCTCACCACAATTTAGAATAGAAATTTACGAGCAATATGATTATTCTAGTAGTTCCAATATGGATTACAGTAGACCCTTGCTATCTGCAGGTATATGGTTCCAAGGGGAGTCCAGCTGAGGAAAAACCACAAATACTCAGGATACATAGAGTTCAGTACCCTAAAGTTACTCAAATTCACCTATACCTTATATAAAGTAGGTCTGAGCATCCATAACACGAAACTATATGGAGTAGGTTATATTACTGTCACAAAAATTACTGTTGTACACATTAATACTGCTCACCAAAAACTAGCTCTGATTTTATGCTATCTTGAACACGAAGCATGCTTGATTCATTTTTCCTATAACTTCCACTAAAGACATGCTAACTTTCAACAAGTCTCAAATTTTCACTCAATCGTGTTCTATGTCCTTTTTGGCTTGGCTTGGAACGATTTCCATAACTTGTAAGCTGCTTCTGGCAAGCATATTTTTACAAAATGAAGGGCAAGAAAACACTCAGCAGATCACAAAATTTAAACAGAACTGATGATAACGTGGGGCGGACTGAGAACTTCTCTATATCAACTGAGCTGCAAAATGCACTCACGTGAATTTTTTTTTTTTGACCATGCTTGGTCAAAACCATATTTAATAAATCCACAAAGAAGACAGTCTTACTGTATAAACTTACCATGATATACTATGCACATTTGGAAAAGCAGATGTTAAATTCTTCACAAGATTAAAATAGGGCATCTATAAAACAAAAGCATCAAGAATCTTGTAAGAATATTCATGAAAAACTTTTTTATAACATTGGGCAATACTCTCAGAATTCATAATAAACATATTCTTTATCTTTTAACCACCCATTTATAGGCAGATTACAAACTTCAGAAAAAGGACAATTTAAAATGTTTCCTTTCCTTGTTATAAAAGCAAATACTTGCCATTACAGAAAATACAGATAAGAAAAAAAGAGAAAATGATAAACGTCTATAATCCATCCCTGCCCCCGCCCAGCAAAAGTCAGTTTCCATATTCCTATCTTTCTAGAGTAATTCTGAAACAATTCTCTTTTGAAACAATTGTCTTATATTTAACCACAATTTGTAAGAGAATAGTGAAGACTTAGTGTATTTACATTCTTTTAAATTCTTAAAACACATGATTCACCAAAATTGAAACAAGAGGACATAAACAACTTAAACAGATATATAACAAGTAATGAGACTGAGACACTTACAAAGAACCTCCCAATAAAGTCCAGGTCTGGATGGATTCACTGCTGAATTCTATAGGACCTTTAAAGAACCAATGCACCTCAAACTATTCCATAAAATACAAAAAGAAAGAATACTACCAAACTCATTCTACAAAGCCAGTATTACACTAGTACCAGAACCAGGCAAAGTTGCATCCAAAAAAAAAAAAAAAAAAAAGTTATATACCAATATTCCTGATGTAAAAATTTTCAATAAAATATTTTTCTTTTTTTGGTGGTACCGGGTTTTGAACTCAGGGCTTCACGGTTGCTAGGCAGGCACTCTACCACTTGAGCCATTTCACCAGCCCTGTTTTATGTTGGGTATTTTGAGATAGGGTCTGCAAACTATTTGTCTGGGCTGGCTTTGAATCATGATCCTTGTGATCTCTGCTTCCTGAGTAGCTATGATTGCAGGAGTCAGCCACTGGTAATGGCCTCAATAATACACCTTCTAACAGAATCAAACGATACATTTAAAAAATCACTCCATGATCAAGTAGGTTTCATTTCAGGGATGCAAGGATGGTACAACATACATAAATCAAAAAATGCAATATAACACACAAACAGAATCAAGGACGAAAACCACATCACATCTCAAAAGATATAGAAAAAGGCTTAGACAAAATCCAATATCCTTTAATGATAAAATCTCTGAAGAAATTAGGAATAGAAGGAACATACCTCTTAGCCTGCCCCAAAAGACCAAAAATCGTATGTTCTCCCTCATATGTGGACATTAGATCAAGGGCAAACACAACAATGGGATTGGACTTTGATCACATGATAAAAAGCGAGAGCACACAAGGGAAGTGTGAGGATGGTAAGACACCTAAAAAATTAGATAGCATTTGTTGCCCTCAATGCAGAGAAAGTAAAGCAGATACCTGAAAAGCAACTGAGGCCAATAGGAAAAGGGGTCCAGGAACTAGAGAAAAGGTTAGATCAAAAAGAATTAACCTAGAAGGTAACACACACGCACAGGAAATCAATGTGAGTCAACTCCCTGTATAGCTATCCTTATCTCAACCAGCAAAAACCCCTGTTCCTTCCTATTATGGCTTATACTCTCTCTACAACAAAATTAATAGATAAGGGCAAAATAGTTTCTGCTGGGTATAGAGGGGGTGGGGGGGAGAGGGAGGGGGCGGAGTGGGTGGTAAGGGAGGGGGTGGGGGCAGGGGGGAGAAATGACCCAAGCATTGTATGCACATATGAATAATAAAACAACAAAAAAAAAATAAAAAAAAAGAAGGAACATACCTCAACATCATAAAGGCTACATATGACAGCTAACATCATACTAAAAGGGGAAAAACTGAAACTATTTCCTCTAAAATCAGGAATGAGACAAGACTCTTAGTCAATATAATACTGGAATTCCTAGCCACAACAATAAGACAGGAAGAAGAAATAAAATGGATTCAAAAGGGTAAAGAATAAGTCAAATTATCCCTATTTGTAGATGATATGATCTTATACGCAAACGACCTTAAAAACTCTAACAACAAACTCTTTTGATATCATAAACGTGTTAAAGCAAAGCAGCAGGATACAAAAATCAACATATAAAACTCATTATCAATTCAATACACAATGAACAGTCTGAGAAAGTTGAAGTTGGGCATGGGTGGCTCATGCCTGTAATCCTAGCTGAGAGGCTGGTTCAACACTAGCCCAGGGAAATAGTTTGTGAGACCCCATCTCCAAAAATAATCAGAGCAAAATGGACTGGGAAGTGTGGCTCCAGTGGCAGAGGGCCTGCTTGACAAGTGCAAAGCCCTGAGTTCAAACCCCAGTTCCACCAAAAAAAAAAAAAAAAAAAAAACCCATTCACAATAAATAAAAAACTTAAACACCAAGGGAATAGTTTTTAATATTTTTATTAGTAAATAATAGTTATACCTGGGGTTTCATTGACACATAGCCATATATAATCTTATCCCAGTTTCATTCATCCCCTCCGTGATTCTCCCTCCTACAACATTCAATCCCTTCTGAAAATAATTTCAACAGGTTAGAATATTCCATATTCATACATGTATCGAAAAGTGCATTAACCACATTCACTCTTTTACCTTCTTTATTTACTTTGTCCTTCTCCTTAACATGATCTGTTTTACATTATTGTCCCTCAATGTTAAGTGTCTGTTCATTGTTTAGTGGGGATTTTGCCTTGGTATTTTACATGTAAATATATTGTGCTTAAATCAGTCTAATCGCCTTCACTACTATTCCTCACCCTTTTCCCCCTACCCTGTATTGTTCAACAAGTCTTCAGTGTGTTTGTGTTCCTGTTTCTACACAGATACGATATATTTCATTATTGTTTACTCTCTATAATTCTACTTTTCCTCTTCTCTTAGTCTCCTCTAACAGTTCCACTTTTGGAAACAAGTTCTGTATAGATTTATATATATATGTATATATATGTTAAAATGTTTGTATTTATATTAGATCTCTCTTCCCCATATGAGAGAAAACATGTGATCTTTGTCTTTTTTTCCCTTTTTAAAAATTATCATACTATTGTTGTACTAGGGGGTACACTGTGACATTTACAAAAATTCTTACACTATACAATAGATTCAATTCACCCTAAGAAATAAGTTTAATGAGGGAAGTGGAAAAACCTATACAATGAAAACTATAAATCACTAAAAGAAATCAATGAAGACACTAGAAGGTGGAAGAACATCCCATGCTCATGGATCAGCATAATCAATATTGTGAAAATGGCTATACTACCAAAAGCAATCTATATTTTCAATTCAATCCCCATCAAAATTCCAATGACACTCTTCACAGATATGAAAATCAATCCTAAAGTTCCTTTGGAAACACATAAGACCTCAAATAGCCAAAGCAATCCTCAGCAAAAAAAACAACATTGGAAGTACAATAATACCTGACTTCAAACTATGCTACAGAACCATAGTAATAAAAATAGCATGGTACCAGCACAAAAATAGACATGAAGACAAGTGGCAAGACCCAGACACAAACCCACACAACTACAGCCATTTGACTTTCAACAGAAGCGTGCAAAACATGCATCGGAGAAAAGATAACCTCTTTAACAAATGGTGCTGAGAAAACTGTATATGAACCTGTAGAAGACTGAAACTAGATCCCAATCTCTCACTTTGTACTAGTAGCAATTCAAAGTGGATCAAAGATCTTAAAGTAAGATCTGAAACTGTGAAATTATTACAGAAACTAGGGAAAACACTGGAACATATAGGCATAGGTATTAACTTTAGAATAGAACGCCAATTGCTCGGAAATTAAGAGAAAGGATTGACAAACGGGACTGCATCAATCTAAAAAGCTTTTGCCCTCCAAAAGAAACAGTAATCATGCTGAAGAATCAGCCTTAGGATGGGGAAAAAAATCTTTGCCAGCTATATATCTGACAAGGGATTAATAACCGCATTATACAGGGAGCTTGAAAACTAACCCTGCAAAGAATCAACAACAGAATTAAAAAAAAAAAAAAAAGAGCAAATGAACCAAACAGACAATTCGCAAAAGATGAAGTACAAATGTCCAATAAATATGTGAAGACATGCTCAAAATCCCTGGCCATAAAGAAAAGGCAAATCAAAACAAAATGAGATTTCACCTTACTCTAGTCAGAATGGTTGCCATTCAGAACACAAACAACAAATGCTTGGAAGGATGCAGGGAAAAAGAACAGTTATGGAGTGTTGGTGAGAATGCAAATGAGTGCAACTACTCTGGAAAATGCTATGGAGGTTCCTCAAAAAACTAAAAATAGACCTATCATGTACTGCTCCTGGATACAGACCCTAAGGAATGTAATCCAGGATACTGGATACAATAGAGTGATGTGTATACCCATGTTTATTGCAGCACTATTCATAACAGCCAAGCTTTGGAAATAGCTCAGTTGCCTTACAACTGCTGAGTGGGTTAAGAAAATGTGATATATACACAACGGACTAAAGAATGAAATTATGCTGTTTTCAGGTAAATGGATAGAACTAAAGTTCATCATGTTAGTGTTGTAAGCCAGACTCAGAAGGACAAAGGTAACATGTTCCCCTCATATGTGGAAGGTAGACCTACAACTGTATGTACATTTATAGACCTATAAATGTATACATATATATAAATATGTAAGATGCATATGTGTATATACACATATACAGAGAGAGAGAAAAAGACTCACAGAGAGAATGATTGTAACAGTGGGTCCTTCTGAGGGGATTAAGGGCAGGTGGGAGAAGAAAAGAGAATGATAGTGAAAAATACTGAAACCCAGTGCATCTGTGTATGAAGATAGTATAAAGAAATGCACTGTAAGCTGTTGAATAGTAGGGGGGCAGAGCAACAGAGAACAGAGGGGTTGATCTGACTGAAGTGCAGTAAATACCAAGGTGAAACCCCCTTGAATAATCAATATACACTTTTAAAAAATGAAGAACAGGAAGGTAAAACAGGTCCTGCCTGGAGATGGGATACTAGTGGGTGGGTAAACGAAGAGGGTGAGAATATGATGGATGTAATTTGTACATACGTGCATGAAAATAGAACAATGAAACCTGTTGAACTTGTTCTAAGAAAGGGGGGAGGGAAGATAAAGGAGAATGTTGTAAGCACATATGTAAATGACACAATGAATTCCCCCTGTACAACTAATTTAGGCTTATAAAAATATTTTAAAAATTAAACAAATAAGGCCCCAAAAGCATTATCCAGCAAGCCTGGTGTGGTGATGCATGCCTATAATCCCAGCACTCAGGAGGCTGAGGAAGGAGGATACTGAGTTCAAGGCCAGTCTGGGCTACATAGTGAGATCTTGTTTCAAAAATAAACAAAAAAAAGTGCCATCCAGGATGGTGAGAAGGAAAAAAGATTTCGACATTAAGGATGGAATTTATGTTTATACAAACACTGCCTATTTTAAGTGATTCTGGATAAGTAAAGTTTTAAAAAACAAGCAGGGGCTGGGGAATGCAGTTCACTGACAGAACATGAGCTTTGCATGAGTGAAGTCCTAGGCTCTACTCCTAGCACTAAAGACAACCAACAATCTCAGTGGCATATTTTACTATATTTATTTATTTAGGTGGTACTACCCCTTGAGCTACTGCACCAGCCCTCAGGGGCATTTTTAATAATATTAACCAGAGATTAAAGAACTACAGTAGACTACTTCTAAAAAATTCAGGTGGTAACAAATATTAATTACAACAACCATCAAGCATTACTATTATGGGCCAGAAACTGTACAAGGAATTTTTTGCAGTACTAAGAATTGAACCCAGGGCCTTGCACTTGCCAGGCTTTATCACTTGAGTTAAAATCCCAGCCCCAGATGGCCAAACTTGAAAAATTCAGGAAAAGAGGCATTTAAAAATTTACTCATCTAATCTGTTTAGGGCTGTTATATGAAGTATTTGAAGAAAGTATTTTGACAAAAAGGATGAACGTAGCACAATACAAATCTGATTTGTTCTATTAATAATAGTCTTATAATATGCTTTAAGATTATTATTTCTTGAACCTCAGAACTACTTGCTTTTAAACAGGTGGGGAACCTAAGTCTAGAAAAGTCAACTCTGGAAACCTGAGTTGCAGGTATGTTTACAATGTATCATAAGAAAAAAGCACCCACAGAATTATGTGCCTCATATGTCACTGAAGAGTTACATGTACACATACAAATAGGGTTTGGAAGTACATGAACCAAAGTGTTAAAAGTAGTTATTTTGGACTAAATAGTAGTGTGGGTGCTTTTGTTTTATTCTTTTTATTGTTGTTGTACATATTTTCTGATTTTTTCCCTAATAAACAGGTTGTGCTTTAGATGTATTAAAGTGACAGTAAATGTTGACACTGACAGTGTCCAAGAAGACTAAGTTCCACTACTTGTACCATAACATTATCTACTCATTAAACCAGAAAAGAATATTTATGACAATTACAATGTCCCAAAAAAACAAAACAGTAATCCTCCCTTTTGATTTTATCATTATGACAACTTTTTTTTTTTTTTTTCCTTGAGCTGAGGGTTTTACTATATTGCCCAGGCAATCCTACTGCCTCAGACTGCCAGGGATCTGGGATTATAGGCACTTGCCCCCCTGCTATTGTGTTACTTCTTTCAGGTTTCATGGGTAATAAATTCACATGAATTCCATGTCTTTTTATAATACTTACAAATAAGGACGTCTTAATGGAAGAGTACAACTATTCAGTTTGAGACCTAATGACACTCCTCTAACCTGGGATGAAAGGTTAAAATTACATAGTAAATTAAAACAGGGCATCCTTTACTACTGGGCAGCTTAACACTTGTTAATAGCATAGTCTTTCAGGACTGAACATGGTTCCTAGTTTGGTTACTTGCGACATCTTTCTAACACTACTCATGGACAGATACTGAGGATAATGTAGAGTACAGTGTATGTAAAGTGCCTGGCTCTGAGCCTAGTGAACAGCACACATGTACCTTTATTTATTTTGCAGTGCTGGGCATCAAGCCACGGTCTCGCCCATGCTAGGCTTGTACTATCACTGAGCCACACCCTCAGCTCCACTGCATACGCTTAAGACAGTATCTATGCAATGAATCTGTGTTGTGCTTTAAGAGTACCTTAGGGCAGTGTTTTCAGAAGCAATTCAAAGGAAGCTGTGGGGCTGATGGACGGGCTCAAGTGGTAGAATGCCTGCCTAGCAAGCCTGAGACCCTGAGTTCAAACCCCAGCACAGCAAAAAAAAAAATTAAAAAGTAACAAAAGAAAGATGTGAATGTGGAAATAATGTTCCAAATATGCACAAGGTATAAACCAACAAGCACATGCATATCCTGCTACTGCAGCTGTGCCTATGATTGGCTATTCAATGCCAACAGGATATTCTCAATAGGACTTTAGAAGTCTGTGTAAATGTCTGTTTTTCATAACTTCTCTTTATATTGTGTTATCAGATAAGATGGTTATTTAAGAAACATAAGAAATGCAGGAATGACTGCAGTGCAGCTGTAATTATGGTGCACTTTTTCACTATTGAAGTTGGATATTTCTCTACATTCCTGAAACAATTTTTTGGGTTTTTTTTTAACTAGAAAATGCAGGCAGTGTTTTCACAAAAGTAACTGTACAGTGATTTGAAATACAATAAATGAAGACAATGCCTGGCCTTCCAATAAAAGATACTGAAGACTGGAAAAAAAAAAAAAGGAAGCTGTGCAACTAGGTCTATAGCTCACTGCTAGTAGTAGAGACAATCATTTTGTAATTCCACTTTTGTTTCCTCTTTTTCCATCAGGTACTCTCCCTCAAAGTTAATCTTGTTTCTCATGAACTTGAGCCACACCCCTAGTTCATGAACTCACTATGTAAGAGAAAATGAGAATAGAAATCAAAGACTACTGACAAGCGATTTAGCACAATTAAATGCACCCTGGTTTTTACTCCTTTCAAGATTTGTTAACAATACTCCTGCAGAAATCAAAACAAAACACAAGTATCAAGAAGTAGCAGAGCTGTGTTAAGAGAGCAGAATGTGGTTTAATTATTATTGCTCAATTAGGCTGAGAGACTTGAAGTAATCATTGTGACTGGAAATGTTTCTAAACAGGAAAGAGAGTCCGCAGATGTTACCCAGTAACGCAACAGTATGGGCCTACCCTATCGCACACGAGTTATCACTACCATGTGCAGAAGGAAAGGAAGAAAAATGAAATGGGACCCAAAGACAGCAGGGGAGGGCCTCAAAGTATCATGCATACTGCTGCGACTCTGACTTTACTTCCAGATGTCACAGGTGAAGGCGACTCCAAAGTTTCTCTCGTGCCACCCTCAGGCCTTGTCTCCGTCTTGTGCCTTTCCAGCCCCATCCAGGTGTGCGCTCCCTCCGAAACACCTGCAGTACGACTGAAGTCCAGTCCTCCCCAGCTAGCACCAACCCTGCAGTCCCACAAGACCCTTTCTTCAACTATCCGAGGCCAAGTGGATCCTAAGTCGCTCAGAGAGTGAACTCAAATGCCCTTTGGTTCTAAAAGGTCTGTCGGGGGAAGCCGGTTCTAACTGGAAAGGAAATCACTGCAGAAGGTGTCCAGGCTTTTCCCCTTAGTCCACACCCAGGACACCGGAGCACTCCTGCGTCTCTCCCAGGACCGGGCTCTTCACCGCCCCTCACCCCCTCCCAACACCAAATGCTCCCTCGGTCCCCTGGACGCCACCCTGCACCTGCTTGTGAGACGCCCTGCTACCCCGGTGTTCCACTGCAGGGCGACCCTGCATCCCTGAGCCGAGCCCCACGTGCTCCTCTCTCCCATTCATTCCGCTTCGCCGCTGTCATTGGCGCGGTGACCTCTGCGCGCGACCCCAGCGCGGAACTCCCGGCCTTACCTGCGTGGTGCGGCCGTCTGAAGTAGCGCGCGGCCCGGGCGGCCCTGCACGGTCGCCACAGCCAGGTCCGGAGCTCCGCGCCGCCGGCCCCGAGAAGTAGCAGCGCAGCCACCGCCACCAGCGCGTGGCCATGGTTCAAGTCTGAAAGTCGCGGCCGGGCGGCAGCTCCGCCTCTGGCCCCGCGGCCCTCCTCCCGGGACCCGGAAGCGGAAGCCGGGCACAGAAAGCGGTGTGGGCACCGCCCCGACCCCGCCTCTCGCTCCTCCGCGGCGCACTTAGCTTGGCGCGGGGGACGGCGGTCCGGTGCCGACTGCTGAGCGTCTCAGGCGAAGATGTCTCCAGCACTTCTCTGAAACTGCTTTGCAGGGAGCCGGTCACTTCAACACTCGTAGCAAAAATGTACCTTTGGTGGACCTGTTGTTAACGAGAAATAACGTCAGATTTACAGCCGCCAAACAAAATGATGCAAAGAATCGGGTTGGCGTTTTGCTGAGTAACGTGGGGCTGCAGTTTGCACGTCTGCTCCTCCTGGGTGTGAGCTGTCACTCTGTGGTTTGCCGCCTTTTGCGATCTGTCCTAGAAGGAAGTGCCAACCTTCTGCACCTTTCCAATAACAAGTCGAACCACGATGCGGGCTCTTGTGATAAAGAAGCTAGGCTGGCCCCATCTTTCGACTTTTGGACTCTCCTTTGAAAACCTGATAGGTACAGTTTGACGAGCTTGCTCCTCGCGCTTCCTGGAGTGCATGGTTTTTTTGTTTTGTTTTGTTTTGTTTTGTCCTTGTTTTTATATTCATATATATGTGAATATCTATCTATATATATATGAATATATGTATGTATGTATAGCAATGTTGAATTTACTTCTACCCAGCCCAGGAAGTACTGAGAATATACAAGATTGGTGTCCTACTTGGGTTAAAAAGATTTTCCTTAGTTCTTTTTTTTTTTTTTATTGTTTTATTATTCATATGTGCATACAAGGCTTGGGTCATTTCTCCCCCCCGCCCCCACCCCCTTCTTTAGTTCTTTTTTCAGGTCTTTTCTCCTGGTGCTAAGAAGGTGTCTTGATAGCAGGAATCGGTGATATAATTAAACATTCAGCATATTCATGCAAACACAGCCAATGAGAGAGAATGTAAGCACCATATACACCGAAATAAAAGAAACTTTCTGTGTCCTTAAATATTCACTCTTAGGAACAGATAGACCACCAAATAGGTATTTACAATTTAGGAAGAAATGGACCAGCAAATAGTTATTTACAGTTTTCTTCAGCTTCTGAGCTATGCAATGCATTAAAAAGTGCAAATAGCTCTATAGCTGGGCACTTTATATTCATATTTATTTTAAAGTACAGGTTTTTTTTTCTAACTGAATTAAAAAGCATCATAAAGAAGCCTGTTTAAGCCAATTTGATACTGTTTTTCCAATGTTGAAGAACAGTACATAAAAACATGTAAAGTGCTTTATAGGTAAAGGTTGGTATGCACATCTGGTTTATCTTGATGTAAATTAGGTTTGTGTTAAGAAACATCCAACAGGTAGAGTTTGCCAAAGTAGAACACATCATTGTACCTGTGATAGTCCTGTGACTCATCTATGATCATATATGACCCATCATCATTCACCCTTTTTTACAGATAAAAAGATAGGGAAGAATTAAGCCACACTTGGCAAGTATAGCACTACACAGTTCTGCCTGACAATTTTCACTTAGAGATTGCTTGACAAATTAAACGAAATGCTCTAGCTCTTTTTTTTTTTTTAAACCCCAGGTCTCATCTCACTGTGTAGCCCAAGCTGGCCTCCAGCTTGTTATCCTCCTATTTCATTCTCCCAAGTGCTGGGATTGCATGTGTGTGATTTGGCTCCTGGCTGAGCCCTGGCTCTTAAAAAGAGTAGTGCACTGGGAATGTAGCTCAGTGGGAAGTGTTTACCTAGCATGTGTAAACACATGCCCTGAGTTGGAATCCCAGCACCCCCCCCAAAAAAAAAAACCCAAAAGATGTGGTAATAGTATGCAGCAAAGCTAAATAGGGAAAGCAGGTGAAATTCATTACGGCTTCTAAGAGTATTGTATATCTAAAATCTTGAGGAACACCAATAACCTACCAATGGGACATGCAAAATTCAAAGATGGTTCTTTTAACCCAAGTAGGCCAGCTAAGAGTTAAGGAAGTTAAAAACTGAGCTGTTGAGCCACGCACCTCTGGCCTACACCTGTAATCCTAGCTGCTTGGGAGGCTGAGATTGGGAGCACTGGGATTTGAGGCAGCCCAGCCTGGGTAAATAGTTCTTGAGATCATAGCTCCAAAATAACCACAGCAAAATGGTTTGGAAGTGTGGTTCAAGTGGTAGAGTGCCTCCTTTGCAAGAGTGAAGCCCTGAGTTCAAACCCCAGTCTCACTAAAGCAAACAACAAAAAAACCTGAGCTCTGTAAGGAACTGCTAAAAAAAAAAAAAAAAAAAAACAGACTTTTTGTACTCAGTCTAGAAATGGCTTTGATTTTTTTTTTACTGCACTTAATGCAAATGAAAGAACCAGTACTTACAGGTAAAAATGGACAAAGTATGTAATTTCAATGTTTGAGCATTGGCTACACTTAAACATTGGTAATACTGTTCAAAACAACTAAGGTAGGTTTTACAGCCAAGTAGCAATTATAATACTCTACAATATAATATAATACTATCATGTCTTTGTAGTACAGCATAAAACATCTCACCATCCAGATTTTATTACATAAAAGGTCAATAAATTAGTAGCATAACTTTGGTAAGAATATTTATTGAGAGAAAAATTCCAAACAGTTACATTGAAAAGGCTAATAATTTTTTTTCCTATGCTGGGTATTGAACCTAGGGCCCCAAGCATACTAGGCAAGTTCTCTACCATTGAGCCACACTCCCTGCCCTTTCTGAGATTTTTATTCTATGACTAATAAGTTGGGTTACAAGGGTGAGAGGTGGGTACCCCAGGAGCAGCTTGGCACCTTTTGTTCTATGGCCAGTGATCATATGTATTGTTGACTGATAGCTCCTTTTCAAAATGTGTGTCATTCAATACATGTTGTAACTGATAGTAGGTTATTGCATACTGCCAGTCTTCTACTAAAATGTCAGAGCATCATAAAGGAGAGTGCATTAATTATATAATTTAATTTATTTCACACAGAGGCTCTCCTAGGAAAGAGGAAAGTATACTGTTGGATCTTCTACTGCTAATCATATTGTCGGGTTTTCTGTGGTGGCTGCTGAAATAACCCGTTTCTTTCACTGACTATCATTTGTTCTCCTGTGATGCTGCCTTATCTGTACATAAAGGGAAAATATAAAGGGTAACTCTAGCCTGCATTATACTGTTTTTATTCATATGAGGAATATATAAGATTCTCTGTAAGCAAGGTCCAATTAAACACTTGCTGTTTATTTTTGGGCTATTTTATTAATGCTGGTTTAATAGAGAATAAGTTTTAGGACTAGCAGTAAAGTATAATGGGGTTGATGTAAGGATTAAATTTTGAAAAATGCTTACATGTTATCTATATTACTAATTGTTTTTACATCACGCTTGATTTGTTGGGTTATTTAATTCCTTTCTTCTTCAAGTACTGTAGGCTTAGAAGCAAAGTAATACAAACCATTAGAATTGGGAGGGAAGAACCAAGTATGTTGGCATACACCTGTAAGTCTAGCATAGAGGAGACTGAGGCAGGTGAATTATGAGTTCAGGGCAAACTTGACTACATAGTGAGACTCTGTCTTAAACAAACAAATGAAATTACAGAGGACAGTAAGGGTCATTGGTGACAAACTTGAACCTCAGTTTCTTGATCTGTAATTTGATAGGGTTGAGCAAGATCATTCTAGGAGTTGTGAAAAGTGTCTCAACAAAAGAATCAATTTAAGGCCTGGTGTTTACCACAGACTGTGTTCTTATATTGACTATGTAGAAAGAGTAGGGGAAGTAAACCTTCCCCATATACACCCCAGCCCAGGCCCTATGCCGGGTCTGTATTGTGAATGGGGAGGCATAGGGTGAGAAAAAAAGAAGAAATAACTGAATTTTTTCTAGACATACTTGGCTACAGGGTTTTGGTATTCTGTTTCCAAGGAGTTATAGAACTATGTTTCTCAGTTTAGAAACTTCTGAATTAAATTATCCTTATAATCTTTTCTAGCTCCAAAATTCAGGGATTCCTTGGTTCAAACAGCCATCTCACTTATGGGTTAAACTTATTTGAAAATATTATATTTCACACGTACTGTTAAAGTACAAATATAAACCTTAAACTTTGCAGAGTTTCGTTAACCATTCTTTTTTTTATATATATAGTTTTTTTGGGTAGTATACTAAATTAGATAAACTTTTTTATCAATTTCAAGTTCATCTCTTATTTTTACATGATCTGAAATTATGTTACAAATGTTTGTAAGGATGGCTTTGCCATTTTGAACTCTAGTGAATGATTTCCTTTTATTGGGGAAAACTAACTTCCTGTCTCCTGATTTCACTTGTAGCAATGAATTCATTCTTCTTTCTCATAGAATGGGATATACTTTAAAAAAAATTTTTAATCTTTTCAGTGAGATAAATTTAATGAATTATCAATTTTAGAGCTTCCTAAGCTGTGCTAAGAGCCCCTGTCAGAATTCTACTCTTCTTTCTTTCTTTTCTTTCTTTCTTTTACGGAGAAAGCAAAGATTTATTAGGATGTCATTAAGAGAAAAGGTTCTGGTACAATAACATCTATGGTGAGAATTGGAGTGTTGTCTAACTTAGCAAATGATTGTTGGCAATAGTAATCATTCTTATGGTACTTGAAAATGTCAAACATAGTACAAGGGACCTTGCATACATTATATATATGTGTATATAAAATATATTATATATACAACATACATTATAATATATATACATTATATATATTATATACATATAACATACTTTGATCATATTCACCCCTATATTACCCTTTCCTATGCCACTTTCCCATTTTCTTCCTCATCCCTAATATATCCCTTTTACTCTCTCTCTTTTTTTTTTTTTCTTATTTTTTGGTCCTGAATTCCACATACGAGAGACACATATGAGACTTACTTTGATGAGTCTGGTTTACTTTCCTTAACATTATGGTCTCCATCTTTATCCATTTTCCTACAAATGACCTACTTTCATTCTTCT